AAAATTTTTAATGTAAGCAGTGATGATTTTGACTATTTTATTGAGCTCTACGTATACTGAATATGCATTACAAAATCTTTCAATTAGGATACTTGAAAACGAAACAACCGTCAAAATTCATAGTCGTTGTGCCCTAACAAAAAATACTATAGTTAACTATAGTTTACCATAGTTAACTATTGTTGACTATAGTGATAACTATGACAACTTTGATTTACTATAGTGATCACTGTGAAAACTTTAATTTACCATGGTGGAAACTTTGATTTACTATAGTAATAACTCTGAAAACTTTGATTTACTATAGTGATAACTATGACACTATAGTGATCACTTTGAAAACTTTGATTTACTATAGTGATAATTTTGACACTTTGATTTACTATAGTTATCTTTAGTAAACTATAGTTTACTAAAGTATTTTTTGTTAGGGTGAAAACGACGCTTCCTTGATTGTACAAACCTTTTCTAAAAAGTTTGTGGACTCTTTGAAATTATTATATGGAAAATAGTCGGTGTGTCATTCAGAATGTCGTCGTGCAATGATCAGTTGCGAGTGATTTATCAGAGAACCATGTCTTTTCCCTCGTCTAATTAAGTCTTATCCACTGCTGATTTCTTTTGTTCCGATTTTTTTGGTAGGAAAAAATTGACGTCCCCTTCTTAAATTTGGTTATTTTCGAGTTGATGAGTGCATTCCTACTAATTATTACAGTTTATGATAGACCGGCATGATACAAGTATCCATTATAAATAACTCTCCCACCTGCCGGGTTCGCGGAAACACCACCCCACCACTCCTTAACGAAAGAGCGCACCAAGGGAGATAATCTTGAAGCTTGCGTATTGAATACCATGGTGGCATTGTAACGAAATTGTAAAGCAAAATCCCGTAACTTATATTTTTGATTTGCTGTAGTCATCTGTAAACTCTTTCAGTAGTAATTACTCAATACTTTCTCCTTAAATATAGGCTAACGGAAATTCTTGTCATTCTGTCACTCACAAAACTTTTCAAGATTCAGTAGAGTGTTGTTTTAATTGTCTTTGTTGACTCTTAGTAAATGCATGTTTTAAAAATCAAATTAGATTGTGCATTCTTTTTTAAATATTTGGAAAAATTGTGTTAGGTATGTATTTAATTTTGTCGAACATAATTTTTTTATGCAAGTAAATCTACGTCCTACTTGTCTTGTACACAAAATATGTAGTATATTGTAACACCCCTTTCAATGTTGTTGTAATCGGCTTCGGCACATATGATTCCATACGAGGCACCCGGCAGATTTAACTATTTGCGCAGATACTACGCCCAGCACTTCTTTGTTGACGATATATATATATATATATATATATATATATATATATATATATATATATATATATATATATATATATATATATATTTACAATGTTTTTTTTTTTTTTTTTTTTTTTTTTACAATTTCCCATATAATTTCATTTTCAAAACCTGTAAAGTATTGTGCAGACGTTCTCTTTTTCCTTTAAAAATCTATGATCAATCCAATCCAAAAGTTCTATTGGAGTTCTAAATGAAACAAAGACTAAAAAGAATGAACAATGAGTGACGCTGAACGCACGGTAAATACAAAGTAAACAAACAGAGTGCGAACGCTAACGCTTTGTGAAGACCGGTTAATTAAAGGTGAATACAAAACTATAAACTTTGAGCGCATGGCAAATAAATGCTTAACAATGGTGACTGCACACTGAACGAAGGGTAAAAGAACTGTTAGTTTTACTTTTTCTTCAAAATTTGTGTCAAAAATTTTTCAGAGAGATTTTGCAATTTTGCGCTTCATTGCAGGTATATGGGAGGCATATAAACTCTGGTTATGGCCTCTCCACCACAGAGTTAGATTAAAATCTATCCACTTTTTTCATGCACATTAATAATAATTTTCCTTGCAATTTAGAGTCCTACTTTATGAAAAGTCTAAAATATACTTCTAAAAAATCCGTGATATAATTCAAAATACGAATGATGTAACTTAAGGTCAGACGACACGTTCCTCAAAAATATATAATTTTCCCAAGAATTTGTCGCTGAAATATTGCTTGATATTATGGTACATTACCGGGCATTTATGTAAGATACCAGGGGGTGCTATTTATATTTGTAAAAAACATTGAAAAAATTTAGAAATCAAAAGAATATGAAAATTATGAATAGTTTTTTTTAATATAATTCCAAGTGAAAAAATAAAACCCATATTTGAGGAACTATTCCACTATTTGAAGTCTTCAATGCGTTTTATTCAAATGCCCCTTAACCATCACACCTATATTTCTATGTACATGTAAACCTTGATCCACTGTTGTGGCCTCGCCCTTCCCTCTGGGGTCCTGATTTGAACAAACTTGAATCTGCACTACCTGAGGATACTTCTGTATTGATATGTCTAATAATGGCTTAGGTTTTCTTGAGAAGAAGATTTTTAAACTTCATAAAAATTATTTCAAACAACAATACATAGCGGGTTCCAGTAAATGTTAAACCAAGCCTCTTTCTTTACTCCTCACTAAGATATTAACAGTAGTGAAGGAGAAACTTCTAGAGTACTATGCAACAATATAATCGAGAAGTGGTGTATATCAGATGTGGATACTTAAAAATTCCAAGGAACTTTTGGGAAATTTCAAATCACAAGATTTTACCAAAATCAACAGCTTAAAAACTTACGACTTTTCAACTTTATACACAACCATTCCCCACGATAAATTAAAATCCAGGCTTTTTGATATCATTGACAGCTGCTTTTTCAATAACAATGGAACTCGTAGATTTACTTACTTTGTCATTGGTCATTTGCAAAATTATTTTGTTAAAAAACATTCTGATTGTACACACAAGTACTCTGAAGTTGACATTAAAAAGATGCCTGAGTTTCTGATTGACAATATTTATGAGGTTTTTGGAGACCAGGTTTTCCAACAATCTATTGGAATTCCCATTGGTACCAATTGAACCCCGTTATTAGCAGACCTTTTTTTGTATTCATATGAAACAGAAATTGTCCAAAAATTTGTACGTGAAAAGAAGAAAACACCTGCTGTGGTTTTCAACTCGACATTCAAATATATCGACGACGTATTGTCAATTAACAATGGCTCTTTCCATTCTTATGTCGATACGATATATCCCGGTGAGCTTGAGATAAAAGATACCACAGAGTCTGACACATGTGTTTCATATTTGGATATTTTACTTGAAAAAGACGTTAATGGTTATCTAACAACCACGCTTTATGATAAACGTGATGACTTTAACTTTTCAATCGTCTTCCCTTACTTATGCAGCAATATACCTTCATCACCTGCATACGGGGTATATATCTCTCAGTTGATTCGATACGCAAGAGCATGCTCTACGTATGTACAATTTCTAAAACGAGGTAAATTATTGACAAATAAGTTGATGAAACAAGAATATCAGCTGTCTCGTTTAAAGTCATCATTTCGTAAGTTCTATGGTCGATACAATGACCTTGTCAGCAAATACAATTTATCATTGAGTCAAATGCTGACTGACGTTTTTCACACTAATTGTTAGGCCATTTTTTACACACTGAATTGTCGACGGATTTTTCCGTTATTTCCCGATCATGACAAGGAGCACACGGCGGGTGTGACCGGTCGGCAGGGGATGCTCACTCCTCCATGGCACCTGATCCCACCTCTGATGTTTGGAGGTCTGTATTTGCTCTGCTCCTATTTTTATTGTTTAATGGACTTTTGTGCTTGAATACTGTTCGTTATCTCCATATATTTCATTAAAGATATTTCCTATATATTGCTATAGTTAACTTTGACCTCATGCTGTGGTCGTGCCCTATCTCCAGGGGTCATCATTGTAACAAACCTGAATCTACACTAACGGGGGATACTTCTGTAATAATATGACTGATCATGGCTTTGCTATTCTCAAGAATATCAAGAAAAACTCAAGAATTTTAAAGGCATTTCTTATATTTTCCTATGTAAAACTTTGACCCCTTCTTGTGGTCCCACCCTACCCCCGGGGGTTATGAGATGAACAAATTTGAATCTAGAGTATGTAATGAAGCTTTCACATGAGCATAATCTTTTTTGCCCAATGGTTCTTGAGAAGAAGATTTTTAAAAGATGCCACTTAATTTTCACGAATTCTTAGTTATCAACCCTTGAAAGAGGGTGCGGCACTTCTTGTGAAGAAACTTGAATCCCCTTCACTCAATGATGCTTTGTGGCAAGTTTGGTTGAAATTAGCGCAGTTGTTCTTGAGAAGAAGTCGAAAATTTGAAAAGTTTACAAACGACAGACGGCAGACTGACGACGGACACTCTTTGATCAGAAAAGCTCAATTGGGCCTTCGGCTCAGGTGAACTAAAATCGGGCTGCAAACAACACAATCCTTGCAAACAACAATAGTAACAACATTGAAAACAATTTCGAAATCAAAAGAATATGAAAATTATGAATATTTTTTTAAAATAATACCAAGTAAAAAAAAAACAAAACATATTTGAGGAACGTGTCGCCTGACCTTAACAAACATACCGAACAATTTTTATCAAATATGAGTTGGATGGTAAATCTTAATATCGTATCATATTTCCCGGAAGAAAATTGTCCGTAATATTATCTGCGATGAATATTAAAATATTATTAAAGTACCTGATCTGAATTGCTTCCTATGATATATGTATATAAATATATAATCAAGAAGGATATATGGAATAGAAGGAAACGTATCAAATGTAATTTTGTTCATTTATGAATTATTATCAAGGAAATGAAAATAATCTATGAATGTTATATACGTTCTCGATGATCGAGGGAAAAATGTTCCGAATTAGCTTTGAGGTCACCTTTTTAATTTACCTCTTTGTGACAGTTATTAGATGTGGCAGAGAAAAGTAAGCTACATTGCGTAATAGAGTTTATTCTCTGTTAAGACAAGTGAATGTTGTTTGATTTGAAGTTACTTTTGTAGAGATAGTGCTGATTGCATAGCTAGCGAAATGTTTGACAAGAAGGCAAATTCATGTATACGTAAGTAAATACTTCTTGTTTAAAAATTCATCTTATTTTATATTTGGAATTAAAGTATGTAATAAATCTAGAATATTAAGTCCACCAAAAGATATTTTTAATTTTTTTTAAACTATCTTCAGTCTGTGGTTTAAATTCTTTGCTTCTTCCACTGCTTAAGAGAGGATTGAGATTTTGATTAAAGGAAAGAAAATTCTTACCTTTCTCAGCTATTTTTACATTGATTTGCTATCGATTTTTAATTGTTAAGTGTGTTTTGAACATTACAGTTTATGTAACAAAACGCAGTCTATTTTTGCACGGAATATAGTTTTTCCTGGAGTGTTCGCTTCCTTGTATATATATATATATATATATATATATATATATATATATATATATATATATATATATATATATATATAATCAAATTTCAGTCGTTAGTCATATCGGTAAAGCTTTTGAACATTTGTAACAACACTAAGTAGCCTTTAAAACATTCTAGTTTTTTTCATTTCTCCTGAAGACAAAATGATACGAATACAAAATGTGTTTGATACTTTCTTTGAGAGTGCAATTTTATAGTTTATTGTTTCCAATGTATTAGCATGTCCTCTTGGGTACTTTGGAATCAACTGTTTAACGCCATGTCCTCAAGGAAATAACGGAAATGGATGTCAGTCTCTCTGTCCAGGAACATGCCGAAACACATGTAATTTTATAACAGGAAAATGCTTGCAACCAGGAAATCGACGTGGAGAAAAACTTGACCACTGTAAGAAAAAATATTTCTTTAACATACAAATACATCTACTAAAATAAAACTAATTAGCAATAAATTTAATATCAATTCATTTGATCGTACAAATCTTCATCTATATGAAAATTGAATATTATACTGGAAACGTCACGTCTAGGGTATAGTGTTATACCAATTCAAAAGTATGTGATGGTTATACAGAGTTTATTGCTTGTATTAATAATAATAAAAGGTACAATTTTTTTCAATAATGTCTTTTCGTAAAAAGAAAATATAAATAAATCTGTATTTCTGGTGTACCAGTCCATGGGGAGTTTCGCGCAACTTAGATGATCCATAAAAATCGTACATATATATTCCAGAGCATGGGCTTTATTTGTATATTAATAGATTAAGAAGTTACTATAAACCAACTTTTATTCGCTATCTAGAAATATCCGCATGCCTCACAACCTTCTCTTTTACTCGCAAATATTTCTCGTCGCAAATCAACTATTCACTTATGTACCGGTATTTATATAGAATGTTGCCCTGTCGCTAAAATTAATAGTCGCCGATGGATTCCAAACTGAAGTATCACTAATAAAAGATGTTGCGAATAATAGTTGGTTTACAGCATTTGATACATTTCTGAATCACAAAATATACCAATTTAGAAAAAACGCTTTCAACATCTTTTTACCTTCAAGTGGTCAGGACATTTCATTTTTCAAAAATGAAAATCAAACCCTGTGTATTAATGATAAAGTTTATTTCAACAGAGAACATCAATAAGATTTTATAACACTTGACATGAAAATTGTACAATGTGGTATAATTTTTGAAATACGGACTAGAAGTTTAAGTACATAAAACGTCCTGATTTACATTTCAGGTGAGCAAACACACCAATCCTTGCAAACAATAATAGAAAAAACAACACGAATGCATGCTGGTCCTCAACCAAAGAAGAAATATTTCTCAAATTCAATAATTGTAATAATAGTTGGATCCGTGTTTGTCTTCATGCTTACTGTTGTTTTGATTTACAACGTTCAAAAGATATTACGAAAGCACTCGTTGAGAAAGAATCAAGATCAACGTGGAATATCCCTATCCTTAACAGAAGATGCAATATACCAACAGATTAATGAAAATGTTCTTTATACTTAGCATTATGATTTTGATTTTAAAAAAAGATAAATGAACAGCTGTAGTGAATATTCATATATAGTTTGATAACTTCAATAAATAATATATAAGCTGAAATAAGCGAAATGAAACCAACCAAAAATGTAAAATTAGATCAAAATTTACTAAAATGTTGTAGGAAAACCTGCGTTTATGACTGATTGTCAACCTCCTCAAACCCAACCAGGATAAAACTGAACTTATAGTCTTCGCACCGAAACATAGACTTGAAGATATGAACAGTCTGAGCTTGCGTTCGGAGACTGTAATGATAGCGACGCAGCTTTTGTCAAGAATTTAGACGTATCATTAAACAGATCTCTTAATTACCATGGAAAAGCAATGTATCTCTGAAAATTTCGTGTTCAGCTTATGTGAACATTCGCAGAATTGGCCGTATCCGTCCGATCATCAGCGACGAAGCCTATAAAACTCTAGTCAATTCCTTAGCTACATCCAAACTATTCTCTGACAACGCATAACATTCTCAACACATCATCTCTAACTTCAATCACAACCGCAAGATTAATCACAGGTCCAAAAGATCGAAGTTCTGAGCCATCTTCAATGACTCCCAGTTGAATAAAGAATCCACTATGAATCCCCTTTTTTACTTTCAAATTTCTCAACAGTTTAAATCCAATCTACTTAAGAGATATCCTGACTGTTTACCATTCGCCATGATCACTAAGGTCAGAATCCTTGCATCTTATCCAATACCTCGGACACGCACAAAAATATACGTAGACCATCGTATAGACAATTTCGTATCGATTCTTTGGAACTTTCTTTTAAACTTAGAAAATACGTTTCAGAACTATGTTAAATCTCCCTTGGTCATCGCGCACTTTCTATGCGCGGTTATTTGTATTAATTATATATAGGCCGTCAGTGAGGCTTCTGTGTCGGCTATTTTTTTTTATTGTAATATTCAATACAACCTTTCATAGACATCCGCCATAATGTAGTGTATGCCATTTCTCTTAATTAATCTAATTCTGATAATTGACATGTAAGTAAATGCAATTATATTTCTTTTCATCTAATTTGAACATTATATTTTGATCAAATTAATATTTATATAATAATGTTGTACTTTGCATGCACTATGCCTAAATACATGTAATCCCATAGATTTTCGATTAAGGAAAAACGATAAAATTTACGGAATCCAGCTAATTTGGTAACTGTGAATGTTTGTAAGAAAATCTTGACAAACGCTGAATACATTTTCCCTGGGTGAAATACTAAAAAAAATTAGGAATACAACGCATACGTGCGCGAATGAGAGTAATACCGACGTAAAGTTGCCGAGCTCACGGACCAAAATATAGCAATGGTTTCTGTCAGTTTTAGGGCGAATGTTTACGATTATGATTGCCTACTGTATTAATATCGATTTCAGTGGTAATGCCTTGACGATAACAAAGGTTATCTTGATGTGACGTTGTCACGGTTGGTTGGAAACCTTTCAAGTTACTCTCTGACAACTAAAAAAATGTTCTTTGGTGGAAAAGTCAAAAACAAACTGTACAACAACATGTTGTTGCTTTCTTATTCACTTATGCAATTCAATTACTAGACCTATTGAAACTTCCGTCAGCCGTACCATGATTGCAAATAATTCATACTGACTGCAAATATGCAAAAACGATGTCTATACCTCCAGTGCATCATTTGGTACTATAAAATGTGTTCACAAAACTGTCATCATCAATATGAACTTGTTTGTGGCTTTTTACCACTTTCCCTGCGTGACGTCATACATTTCAGGTCGAGTAGTTTTGAACACTGATTTTAGTGCACAGTAATGAAGATATCCAATTTTCATAATTTTCGGCGAAACAGTAAAAAATATTTGGCATATTATGTTCTCATGCATTTCTTTTTCCTTTCAGTATATACATGTATACACCACTCCAAATTGCAATGATAGCCCTTCGGTTTATCAGAGAGCTAATGGATTCAGTACAGAAGCAAACCTTAATTCTTTTTCATATCGCCTCAATAATTTTATATTTGGAATGCTTTCTGAAACTTTAAAATATATTTTTATACGCATCATTAATGAAATGGCAATTATGCCATAAACTTTTCCGCTCATTTATTAAAACAGATCTTTTATTCATTATGTTTAGTTAAAAATATTTATATCGTATGATTAAGAAGTGAAGGAGGAGTAAATTCACATCTGAGAAAAAAAAAATGGAACTAGATGCTGTCACGAGACAGTAATACCCGCACTAAGGTGTTTGCCTCTAAATACACACTCCTTCATATTGGGCTTACCAAGGAAAAAGTCAAAATAATTCTTTAATTTACAAAGTACATGTATTCGTCAAATCGAGCATAAAATGCTCAGGTGACCATGTGACCCATGAACCTCTTATACACATTTCATATACTTAATTCATTACCAGTCTGAAAAAACAGAATTTAATTAATGATGTAAATTAGGTTTTGATAAAGGGGGGGGGGGGTTATAAATTTTTGGCCCATAATTGGAACTTTTTAAATTTATTTTCTCAACAACAAATAATATTATTTTAGTACAAAACGTTTTTAATGAATTTATCAAAATGTGCAAACATTTTTTAGTATTTGATTAGGCAAAAATCTCCTTGAAAAGCCATCCCAATCAATTTTGTCCCCCCCCCCAAACACACACACACACAATTTGCCTGTTTTTGGAAATAGGCCTAGATGGCAAAGTTAAGTTAAAACATCGTTTGTTATGATGACTTAAAATTTGTTCTTGTACTGTACGTGTACAGTGTATGTGAACACCTTTTTGAAAATTTCTACATCACATTGGGCTTGCGTCACCCTACCGGTACTAGTACTAGTTTTACCATTATCATTTTTAGATTGCACATGGTGCAGTGTTACATGTATATATCAGTGGAAATTAATTCATTTCGTGTTTTAAATGGATTATATTTCATGAAGTTGACAGGACCTATGACAGTCGGTAAGTACAAGTTTAAGTATAGATTGGGGTCAAATCACAGGTGCTTGAGGACAGGACCCCCCCCCCCCCCCCTCGGATATAGACCCCCGGGCTTTTGCTACTTTTTTCTCATAAATCATCTTTCAATGACATATTTGTGATTTAATCTATACCAACAATTCGAAAAATTACCTAGAACAAACATTTTATAAAATCTACCCCCTCTCTCTATATATAAATCTATATATATAGGGTAGGGTAGTAATTTTTATAAAATGTTTGTTTAAGTCAATTTTCCGAATTGATGATATAGATATTATATTCCAAATGTGTCATCAATATATAATTTATGAGAAAAGAGTCGAACAGACCTGGGGGTCTGTATCGGGAGGGGGGGAGTCCTATCCTCAAGCACCTGTGGGTAAAATAAACCGAAATGCAAACGGTTAGGTTAAAGTTTAAAAAAGGATCATAGATCATCGACAATCTCCTATGCAGAGTTGTCGTTCGTTTCTCTCTCAGACACTGAATGTATGAGCCGATGGTAGAGGGTGGATCATCGGATGCCACAATAGACGAATTTCACATTCTGAAGAGTTATCTCCCGTTGTCGACATTACATTCAGTTGCAGGCACAGATCCAGGAATTTTTTCCTGCGGGGGGGGGGGGGGGGGTTCACCCTCAGTCAAAAAAAATTCCAGCCCAGAATTTCCTGAGGAGCAAAAAAAAAAAAAAAACAAAAACAAAAACAAACAAACAAACAAAATAAAACAATGATGGTGGGGTCCATGTTTTTAAAGGGATAGGGCATCCAAAGTCATTTTCTATTTGCTTCTGTTAATCAGTATATAGTCCTATTTAAATAACTCTGCATATTCCAGGGGGGGGGGGGGTCCAATCTCCCTAGCCGCTCCCTGTCCCTGAAATGACAAATGATCATGTGACTCCTAAATAGTAGAAAACTTTTCCATTTGACTATACATAATTTTGTTTCTTGTGTTATTATGTTATGTACATCTAATGGTTTAAGGTTATGAACCCCTGGAGGTCATCCCCACTCTCTTAACGAACTGGAAATGTTCACAATATGACTACATCAAATTAAATAAAAGTGCATCGATGATAAGATTACTTGACATTTCATTCATGAATTTGGGTCAACCCATGTACCCTTCTAGAATTAGGAATGAAAATCATTCAAAGGGATGGACCATTAAACTATTTGTATATATTCACATTTTTTTTTATGTCAAAACAAAGTATTAGTTTGCATACATGAACAAACAGGGGTCTGGGAAGGGGAAGGGAGAGGGGAAGGAGTTATCTCTTTATATATTAATTGTTAACTCCTAAAATGAATGTTAACCTGAAATCCGACTTGTACGTCTTCATTATTTTAAAGTGTTGGTGTCTCCATATGAGTGAAAAATTCCCGAGAGGGACATTAAACAACAAACAAACATTAATGACTTAAAAACACAATATACATGTACATGTTTATTAGTCAACGGATATACTTCTGGCATATCTCTAGTTCTCCCTTGAATCAGAAATGATGATATAAATATTTTAAGATTGATTAAGAGTTGAAAAGGTTGTGCATTTTAAAATTGACTAAGCTCTGTGGTTGTATTAGCTATACCAGATTAGCTTATTTTGCTACTCAAATTACCTTGATTAACTATATCTAATCATACTGTTTTCTGAAATGTGAAGTTTTTTCAACATGGATACAAGTCATGCCTTTTCAGCTTCTGAAAACAATGCATGAAAAAAAAAAAAACTGCCTTTCAAATACTGTAACTCTTTCCAAGTACTTGTGATCATAAGTTTTTAGCTCACTTGAGTTTTCCTAGTTTTCTCATCACATTTTATTTGTCATCCATCTCTCCGCCTGTAAACTTTTCACATTTTTGTCTTCTTCACTAGAACCGCTGTGCCAATTTCAACCAACCCTGCCACAAAGCATCTTCGGGTAAAGGAGATTCAAGTTTGTTCAAGTGAAGGGTAACACCCTTTTTCGTGGAGGGATAATCAAGAATTAGTGAAAATTTGGTGGTATCATTTAAAAAAAAGTCTTATCAAGAACCACTGACTGGGCCCAAAAAGTTGAAACTTTCTTTACATAGACTTAGTGTAGATTCAAATTTGTTCAA